GGTGGAGAAAGGAGACGCGCGTCAGCCCCGGCTCAGCAGGCCGCGCCCGCCGCGTCCCGACCGCGCCAGACTTCACTCACCTCCCTCCTTCCTCCGAATGAACTGAGAAAGTCAGGGGAAACCGTGCTTTGCTAAGTCACGAGATCAAGGCAAGCGGAAGGAGAAACGTGAGAAACCCCACGATCCCGCCGGGCAGAGGGGCGCCTGCGATGGTCGCTTTCTTTCTTGGCTCCCTTCTGTTTCCTGACAGGGCCTCGCTTGCTGCCCAGGCCGCCGCTGCCTTCTCTCAGGAGGGTCCCGACCCCTCCAGGGCGCGGAGTTCACCTGCACCCTTTCTTCAGTGCTCCCTAACAATGGCTCCCCTGGCGAGGCCATCTTAGAGCCCACAACTCAGGCCCTGCGGTCTCTATGAAGAATAAATTCGTATTTGACCTGTTTCTGATTTTAACGGTGGAAAGTAGTACTTGAATACTGTGAAGACCCTTCCACTCCAATCCGCACAGGGGGCTGGACTTGGGGCCCACGCCTTTAGTCCCAGCAATCCGCAGGCTGAGGCAGGAGGATCCTGGTCAGTTCGAGCCCAGCCTGTCTCCAAAAACCCGCAAAAAAAACCCCACTGGGAACGTAATCAATACGCAGTGCAAACACGGACTGTAAACGTACAATTTCAAACGCTGAGGTCCGAGTTCAGGGCTGCGGGGGCACAGGCCGGGCGGGGGACAGCAGCCCCAGCTTCGCCCCGGGCCGGCCTCCCTACTCCGACCACAGGGCCGTCCAGGCTGCGGGGAGGAGGGCAGCGCCCGCCAGCTCCCGAGGAGGACAAGGGACAAGGGGCGCAGCCACCTCGTTAGCGACGAGGTGCACGAAGACAGAAAGAAAGGCAACTAGGGACCCTGAAAAACGAGCAACGAGCAAGAAAGTGGCTCCACGAAGACCAGAGCAACGCGAGACAACCGGGCGGGAGGCCGAGGCGCACACGTCCTCCCCCGGCTCAGGAAGGGAAGCCCTCGCACCCAGGGCCGCGGACGGCCAGGGACACCTGAGGCTGG